TTTGATATTTAAAGAATGAATCGTGATTTTTAAATGTGTCAGTAAAAACAGTGAAATTACAGACTAACTTAGAAAAAAATACCAAGAAAGAAGTAAATACCTAATTTTTTGCAAATTTTTTTTCAAAAAGTCTCAAAAGTGTTTTTAAAAAGTGTATTAGATTTTATAGTATTGAAAATAAAAGTCTTTCTCCCATTTTTTTTAATTTAACCCTTGTTTTGTATAAAATAAAATGTTAAAGTTTAATAGTCATAAATTTTTTTATTTCTAGTATTTTCATTAGCTTAATTTCTTCTTCAAAAATGATGATAAAAACTTTTTATATTGATTTTACTTAAAAATATTTTAGGTTCTCGCTATGTTAGTTGGTTTCCAAGTTTTTCTGTTGAAGTTAGTAACACAAGTTTATTAGGAGATAGACCACAAATAATTTCGATTCAGACATCGCAGCTTGATAGTATGGTAAGTATTGAAGGAACGTATGGCTGAAAAAAATTACAGATATTTTAATTTGGTTCGTTTAATTAAATTAAGAAGTTTGACAACTGAAGCTGCATGTAAAATAAGCATATTTTCAGAGTTTTTTCTTGGAGACAATGGATAAATTAAATTTCTAAAAAGACCTTTTGTTTTAAAAACTAACACGCTATAGAAATTAAATGTTCCATAGTGATACAAAAGAAATAGTGCTGTTCTTCCCTGAAACCTTCCTTTTTGAAAGGTATGCAAAACGAGTAAAGCATCTGCTGTTTTTAAGTTATGATTAATTTATTTTTTGATTATGTATGTTAATAACTATAGTAAAGGTTAGGTATCTTTCGATTTACCAATTTTTCAAGAATAGTGTGTTTTTTGGAATAATGTTTCAAAACTCTACTCAAAAAAGCACTAAAAGATAGTTTATAAGAAAAAACTATGCATTGAAAAAAAATTAATAATTCTACATGCAAAATGCTTTTGAAGTTTTCAGGATGCTTTCTTTTTTAACATTTGAATTCACAGATATTTTCCCTGCCCTTTAGGTTTATTTTTTTAAAGTATTAAAATAAAATCTTTAAGTGGATCTGCCCCTTAAAACAGTTAAAACGTAATTTATTTGATTAGCTTAATTATTTAAGATGTGTGACGAGTTAAAATCTAGTCAATTTTTACAGAGATTCTATCTGGGTGTATTTATTTTTAAGGTTTTTAGTTTTTTGATATTCCTGATAAAAAATATTTTGTCCTTAAATAAGAATGGAATAGTTTGGATTTTTCATCCAACATCTTTTTATTTCAATTAATAATGATAGTTGAAGTAACAAAATTCAATAGTTCTAGTTTTTGCCGGGACCTTCTACTGTACATAGTTCAAACATATAGCTTTACTTACAGGATTCGTTGTTTAAATCTTTTTGAGAATTCAGTTATTCTATGAAAAAGAAACTCGTTTAAAAATTTTATATCATCAAAATTTAATGGTCATGAAAACACTTATTTATTATTTATGCAAATGCTATAACATGTTATGTAAGATGGACTTTAGTAGTTTCACAATTATTGATTCGTCTCTTTTATCTGATTTTAAAATTGAACCAAAATTAAAATGATTTGATTACAGAAATTTTGAAATACATTGCTAATTTTATTTATACAGTAGTAGGAGGGGGAGTATTAACTTACTGATGTTAGTTATTTTTCATAATGCAACAGTAATATAAAAATTTTCCATTCATTGATTTGAAGTTAATATGAGTTGTTCAGAATTGATGAAAATATACTGTAAACTGTTAGACTTTTCTGTTTTTAGCAAAGTAATTCTGAGATTAAAAATAGTGTATTTCATATTTATTTTGTGGCAAAATTTTCTTTTAATACTCTGAAGCAAATTATACTTTGTTTTTAGTTTGATGTTTGCATTTTTCAAAAGTTGTCTTATGTTTATTGTACTAAGAAATGTCCTTTTTTGAAGAATGTTGCCCTGATTATTTCTTTGATCCACTAGAAAACCTGAATTTTTTACAGTTAATGTTCCTAAATTTACTAAAATGATGCTTAACACTCTCTTGCACTCAATATTTTAAAAATAATACAAACAACCTGACTTGTGTACTTTTTTTGTATGGTGTAAATTTTTTATGCACATAATTTATTCTGACTTTTTGCATAAAAACTGCACCCTGAAAAATTAATGGTCCAATGACGCCCGTTGGCTGAGTGGTAGCGCTTCACGCTCCCGTGCCACTGGGCGTGATATTAATGAGGTGATATTAATTTTGTTAAATTTGTCTTAGGCTCACGAACTGTTAGAATTTGTAAATTACGTTAAACTCTTATGAATGGTTAAATTACGCATAAATTTAAACCAACGAGTAATAAAACTTTCTCAAATATTAAGCCTTTTCATGCATGGCCTCTTTAAAATCACATAAGCAGAGGGATGTCAGGAAGTTTTTTGAAAATTTTCTGGTGTTAAGAAGCTCGTTATTATTTACATTCAGTCAACCATCCATGGCCACGTTCCAATAGTTACACCCATTACATTGGTACAACTGAAGTGAACTAGTCACGTGACCAGTTTCTTTTAGTTCGCACCGTAATTTTGGAACGATCGGTGCAGTGTTCTGGTTGCCATTAGCAACCTGAAGCAAACGCTCATCTCTTGGAATCTTTGTCACCAAAGTGAAGCACCACTGGCTGCGGTCAGTGTGCGGGAGGGTGACCGTTTGTATTAGACTGCACAGGGACCGAGGGCATGCGGTATTGGACCTCGCTAAACTGTTCTATCGTAAAGTGTTCAACTTCGTGTGGAGGTCATCGGGCTACCGAAGTGGGGTGACATCCCTTCTGCAGAGAATCAAAATTGTGATGGCATGTCTTCGGATCATCCTCAGAGATGTTTCCCACCCCGTTGCCAATAGCTCATTGAGCAGCTCTAGTGCGACGTAAAGTAACTATAACAACAACTACAACAATCATCTAATTATAATTATTATAAAGAAAGAAAAGAATTCTTATTTAAATCAATAGATTTAATATCATCTGTTTATTTAATTTCATCTGATAGATTTAATATCATCATAGATAGATAATGCACGATTGCATCTATACATTATACGATATCGCTCAATGGCGAAATAGCCATACTAAACTATTAAAAGGAATAACTACTGATGAAGAGGCGGTCTAAAATATTTGCTACTACAAAAAACGAAGTTCACCCCTTCCCCCAACATTACACGAGAAAATAGATTATCATTGTTTTCTGTGCTGGAATTTTAGGAAGTTAATCAACAGGCAAAAAATATTTTTTGGCCTAAATATTTTCTATGAATTTGTTGAAAAATAATAATACATAAATTGCATTACAATTTAGTTACATTGGACGTGTTTGTATTCCTGAGATCCTCGCAGCCTTTTGTTGTGGTGTATGCTGTTGTGATTTTATAGCGTGTTAAAAATATCTTCCAATATCGTCGTCAAAAGTAACTTTACTGATTTAATTTAGGTAAGCAAAGTTTATTCATCTTCTATTTACTTATAAAAACTCTTTTAATATTGTATCAGGTCTTCATTTCTAACTGCAATGTTTCACTTTTATATTTAGGTTAAGCCTACATTAGCGAAAGAACATTTCGTTGTAGAAGATGTTTTTAGCTGATTTTGAGCTGTAATTAAGTAAGTACTTTTTGTTTTTTAACTTTACGCTAATTTTAAATATTATTATCGGAACAATTTCTAATTAATGACATAAATGTATTGTCCAAGTTGTTTGTTCTGAATTGTTTACTTGTTTACTGGCATGTTAAATGTTATGTTTTACAATCGATCTAATTTTTATTAAATAATTTCTCTAGGTTTGTGAATAATTTTATATAAGATGAAATTTTTCTACTGTCATCTATTATGTAAACATGGTTCACAGCATTGTAGTTATGAGTGTATAAATATTTTTCTTAAAAATTAAGTCTGTCAACGCTAATTCTGTGTGCTTATTAACAGTTAATTCGTTTTAAAACATTAAAAATTGTACTAAAATGATATAAGTATACATATTTTATCAAAATATTAATGTAAGTGAATTGTTAAAGGTTATATAGATTTTAAAATTTTGTCTAAAAGTAAAATAAGCAATATGAAAATATTAAACAATTTAAAAAAAGGAAATATGTTAAACTTTTCAATTTCTAAAAACAATGATATTCGATTTACCTAAATTTAAGCCAGTCTAGTAAAATAATTCTCTAAATAAAAGTTCTTAACATCATACTTAGTTTATGGTACAGGAATGATTGTTATTCATTACTACTAATAATTTTTTGTTTTAAATGTGTTAGATATCAAGTAAGGTATGTGTTTGTTATGTAACAAGAATATTCTAAAGGAAAATCAAAATAGATACTACTAAAGGCTCAAAATCAAAATAGAGATTAATATGTTTATTAAAACTTCTTTAAAGAATTTCTTGTTTTCTAAAAGTAATAAAAAAAATTATGGATAAGAAAGGGAAATTTAATTGTCAAAAACAGTATCAAAATGTGTTAATATACAAAATATTAAAGCTGTTCCAACTTTTTTTAATCTTTAAAATAACTCTTTAAAAACTGAAGTATAATTTGCATAAGAGCGCACCAACTGAGACTTGTAAGTTTCTAAGATTATGGTTAGAAAATATTACTCAAAGCTTTTCTAATAAAATATTTTATTGTATTATACATCAGGATTTGAAAAAACCCAATCCGCCTATTTGAAAAAACTTGGGGGAAATTGGGTTTTTTCATTTTGTTACATGTATTTTACTTAAAGTTTAAATGGTGCATTATCACTAATACATATTTGAGTCTTATTTATTATTATTTTCAGGGTGGGCACACCCAATAAAACCCGAGTGGGTTTTTTCAAAGTGGGCCTGCTTGGCGAACCTTGATTTATATATATATACATACATACATACATAAAGGAGACATTTGTTTGCCATTTACTGCCGTTTAGCGGTACCTGNCAATAAAATATTGCAGAAAGCAAACAGTGTTCAGTGTTTTATGATAAGCTCCCTATATTCTGAAAACAAAGATGTTATTGCTTTGTTTCCTGTAAAAAATTTAAATGCTAAGGAATTGTTAGGCATGACTAAGGCAGCAATAGCTGCTGTAACAAAAGCAGGATTTATCATAATTGCTGCTATTGCAGACAATAGGATAAATCGAAATATGTTTACTGAGTTGTGTGGAGGTATTTTAAAACCATGCATTCCAAATCCTTTTAACACAAATATTCCACTTTTTCTTATGTTTGATTCTGTTCATATTTTGAAGGTTCTTCGAAATATATGGCTGAATCAAAAGACTAAGGATACTACTCTTTTCTTTCCTTCTTTTGAGAACTTTGATGAAATTATGGAGGCATCATTTGATGATTTACGCAACATTCACTATAGTGAAAAAAATGAAATAGTGAAGATGGCGCCAAAGCTGAATGAGAAAGCCCTTTTTCCCAGCAGTGTTGAGAGACAAAATGTAAATTTATGCCTGCGAATATTTCATGAATCTAATATGCATGCACTTACAATGTTAGATGAAGTGAAATATAAGGGCACCATAACCTTTCTTCACATAATAATTAAGTGGTGGAAAATAGCCAGCATTAAAAATACAAGGAAAGGCTATGAAAAGCTTGACCACGATTCTGTGCCTTTTTCCTGTGTGAATGACGCAAGAATAAAATTTCTTTCTTGTCTTTCAAGTTGGTTGAAAGAGTGGCAAAAAAAAGAAATCCCTGGATTTAAAAGAAATCAAGGTAAATTGACGTCCGAAACATTTTTTGCGTTTCAACACACTGTTCAAGCCCTGACTGATGTTATAAAATATCTCATCAGTGAAAAAAAAGATAAATTTGTTTTGACTGGCAAATTTCAAACCGACAACTTGGAAGGTCGGTTTGGTCAATATCGACAGTTAAATGGAGGCAACTACAACTTATCAGTTGACCAAGTGCTGAAGTCAGAAAAGAAACTCAGGATTACAAGCTTATTAAAGTTAAGATCTGAATCTTATGGAGAAATGCCCATCTCTGACTTTATGGCAGATTTTTCTGAAAAAATTGATACGGAACAAGGCAATGATATGGAGGAAAACAATTACAAATTTGAATTGAAAGGTTTTGTGGATAATATTCAATTTGAAAATGAAGAGGATATTCCACAATCTATCTATATTTCTGGTTATGCTGTCCATCAACTTAAAAAAAAGTTACATTGCTCTTCCTGTATTAAAATGCTCTCAACAGAAAAGAGTTTAGTCTTGGAGAATGATAACTCCTCTCACAATTATTTCAACCTGGTAGAAAAGGGTGGGCTGATGTACCCAAATGAATTCACCACTCGTGTGTTTTTGTTGTGTTTGAAGGTTTTTAAATGCGTGTTAAAACGTGACAATGAACATTTGCTACTAACTGATAATGTAAAAAAAATTCTCACCTCTATGACATATGACAAAGTTGTTGAACTGTATGTCAACCAATGCTGTCCATCTTGTGGGGAAGGTACTCATGATTTATCTTTGAAATGTATCTCTATATTTTTTAATATATTTCTAAGTAATTATTCTAAGGTAAAAAATAATGTTGTCCATTCATCATGCCAAAAGAGAAAATATGATATGTTAATGGCATCTATACAATGAAATTATTTTTATTCTCTCTTCAAAGAGAATATTTTTTCAGAAAATATTTCTATTAATATGTTAATATTTTTTTAGTTAAGAATTACCTATTTTTTTAATAAGTAAAAAAATTTATGATAACCATGTTAGATGAGTTTAATATCTATGACCAAATATTGCAAGTTTTTTCTACAGAGAAAATAATGAATGCACTACTAGTTATTATTTTAATTGTTCCTGCTTTGTTGTATGATTGCATTAAAAAATATTAGCTTTTCGAATTTTAAACATTTTTATTAAAATTCTAAGTAATTTCTTCTAAGGCTTATTTAAAATTTGTTATTTTACGAGTGGTGATGAAAAAAACAAATTATATTTTGTTCTAGTTGGTTAAAGCATAACAACTGACACACATTGTATATATATTTAAGTTTGTACCAATAATTTTTAAGCTTTTGGCAGGAGAATTTAGTGTCTTTATTATATTACATATTAATTGGGGAAGAATTAATTATTTTTAATGATTAAAATTACCCATGAATTTGGTTTTATATTTGTACAAAATAATTTTGATCATTTTATCAATTATCCAGTATCTGAAATAAGTTTCAAATGCTCTCTTTTTTGTTTATTTTCTGTAATTGTTTTTAACATTGGCAGGTTTAAAAAATTTCTTCTGGCAATTCTATTGAAACACATAAAAAAATATTTAATTTTTTTTTTTAGAAAATAATGAATGCTACTACTAGTTACTTTTTAATTTGTTACTGCTTTGTTCTTATTCTTTGTTGTATGATTGCATTAAAAATATTAGCTTTTCGAATTTTAAACATTTTCATTAAAATTCTAAGCAATTTCTTCTAAGGCTTATTTAAAATTTGTTATTTTATGTGTGGTGATGAAAAAAACAAATTATATTTTGTTGTAGTTGGTTAAAGCATCTAAAAACACTGTCAGGCTTAAAAACTTCCTTTTGAATAATTTCTTCTGCATTTTAGTAATGTAATTATTTATTTTTTGTTTTTGTGTAGTACAAATTGTACAAAATTATCAAAAATGCAATGCTATTTGTAATTAGTTTTTTAGCTTTTGTTGGGAGAATTCAATGTATTTTTTATACTATTGGGGGATAAATTTTTTAAATATTGTAGTTACCCGTGAAATTGGTTACATAATACCAGTACATAATAATTTTGCTCATTTTATTAATAGTACAATACTTAAAATATGCTTTTAATACTTTTATTTTGTTATTCTATATATTTGTTTTTAACCATGACTGGTTTAAGTTTTCTTTTGAATAGTTTCTTTGGTTTTGCTAGTGAAACGAAAATTATTGCAAGATAGTATATATAAGAACAAATGATTCACTGCCAGTCATTTTAATTTTTCATATGTTGTTTGTATTTTTATTTATTTAAATTTGTATGATTGCATTAAGAAAACAATTTTAGCTTTCAGTAACAATATTAACATTTCCCCTGTACATTTTTATAATTCAGATTGATGGGACAATCTCTTGTATTTACATCTTGATATATAATGTAAATGTAAAAATAATTATATTAATGTTATTCATGAAAAAGTATTGTATGAAGAATGAATAAAAAAATTTTTATTGTATTCTGTACCTGCAAAGTTTATATAACTCATTTAAATTCACCTACACATTTGATGAAATATGTCTTTTTTTTCCCATATAATTAAAAAAAAAATTTTTTTTAGGTTTTAATTTCGTTATATAAATTTATTTATCCTCTTAAATTCATTCTTTAGTATCTTATAAAATATGAATCTTATGCCTTTTAAACACTATTTTAGTAGTCTTGTTTTGTTAAATGCTCAACACGAAATATTTTTGCAACATGAAAATTTATTTTATTGAATTTTTTCTGTGACTAGTCTATCTGAAATTATTCCAATTATTTGGATCAAAACTTTTTATTAGTAAATATCAATAGATTGAATAAAAGATTTAGTTGAATTATAAAAGTGAAGTAAGTTGTTCAACTTATGTGGACTTAAAATATAATTTGCAATAAATAATTGTTAAGGAGCATCATAGCTAAACCACATTTTTATTTTTTTGAATTTAGAAAAAGGTAATTTGGAGATGAAATACTTACCATCTGTAATTAAAATGTTTTAACGGAACTCATAACATTTATTAAATTGAATAGTTATCTCTCTATACATTCAGATTCAACTTTTCTTATGGATGACAATTTTATTTGTACAAAATTTTATGAGGTTAAAGGTTTGGTAATTTATGATGGAAAAGAAGCTGGAATACATGCATAAAATAAATTATGCTTAATTAGAATAAATTAAATTCTAATTAATGTCACGTAATTTAGGCCGTAGAGAAATTTTTAAAAATTACTTGAAATTCGTTTTAAGTCAAACTTTTAGCTTAACTGATAACTTATAAATATGCAGATAGATGAAAAAGTTATTTCTCTGCCCTACTTCACATAAAAATAACTAAATTAATATTCTTTTGAAATTATTACAAAAGAAATACAATGTTTTCGTTAAAACGAAGATTCCCTTTCTAGCAGAGCTTGAAGTTTTATGAATAAAGCTATCTTTTTTTGACAAAATTCAAACTACTAAAGAAAAAGTGAAGAAAGAGCTGGATCGCAATGCGTGACGTCACAAAACGAGTGCCGAGGCCCCCTAAACTTAGTGTTTTCACTACAGCGCGAGAACGCGAGAATCTCGTATATTTTTTTCTTTTCTCGCATTAAAAAATTATTACCGCGAGAAATTAGCGCATTCTATAAATCAAATTTGAAAATTCGCGAATTTCTCGCATTTCGGAAAAAGCTTCGAATTACGCCATTTAGAATAAAATTCGTTTCACTTTTCTTCCTGGCTCTTTCATTATTTCCAACATCTGCCCCGTTACCTAGCTTCCCTATTTACCAGTATTGTTCAGAACCTTTTCGAACAACAGAACACAACCACGGGATCCCTTTCAGAACACATTTCTCTGCAACTACGTGTTTATAATATACGTAAGGTTTCTTCATGTAAGATATTCAAATTTTTTATGTGCTAATGTAAGATGGACAAATATCTTGTAAAGACAAAATCTTCTATGATGATGCACCAAAAATATTCAATGCTTTAAAAAATAGAAGACGTTAAAAATGTATTATAATTAAAGAAATGATTTTTTTT